TATATATATATAATATTATAAAATAATATCACCATAAGGTATACTATGGAAGAGAAGGGGGTAATTATTACATGGCTAACATATTAGTTATACTGTGTATATAACAATAAAAAACAACTTTATTAGACATCCTGGCCTCCGGTCTAACTTCATTACGTAAGAACTAGAGCAGGATAGCATTGTGATTGACAGCTGTGACATCCAATGTTGTTGCAGAATAGGATCGTTAACATTCCAAGACGTTGATCGACAGCCAATCAGATTGAACGGAGGTGGAACGTAGTTGGCTGTCCGTGTCAGATGGAGGTAATGAGGCCCAATCCCCGGTCTAGCTGGACGGCATTCTCCGAGGAAAGTGAGGGGGGCAACAGGCCAGTAGGCTCTCGTGCTTGCCTCGACCATGTTTTACCGGTATTATCCCAACAACGGCCGGCGTGAATCAAAACATGAAGAATAGCCCCAGAAATCAAGCATATTATAACAATTTAAAGAATGACATTCGAGTGGAGCGGAGTTGTCTTTAACCCGCAAAGCCAAATAAGAGCACACCATAAGCAACCTAACTTACCCAGAAATTTTCCAGGAAATAAGGCGTTATCATCTTGCTGTCCTCCCTTCTTCACAGCGGCGCTTCTCTTTATTTGAATTGCCTCAGTTGTCAGAGTTAATCCACCGTCCTCCTCCCGATGTTGTTGTGTCTGGTGGTTTTTCTCTTTTTTCCTGCTCTTCTGCTGGGGCTTCCTCCCTCTGAACACGACTCCACCTCCTCACTGGCTTTTCACCCCCTGCCTCCACTTGTTCAGGATTTCACTGAGGGAATTATGAAGAAACAGTGCCGCCAGTGGCGATTTCAAGAATTGCCACAATTCCCATAATGCAATCGCGTAATGCTCATGCTCCACTGTAAGACTAAGTTCTTTGGTGTAGTGACTCTTTCCTGCCATATTCCATATGGAATTATATTACGAAATGCGCTAATATTATAAGAGATGTTATTATATGTTAATAAGCTACTACTGTTCTTGGACACTAAGCATATATATATATATATATATATATATATATATATATATATATATATATAGTGTGTAAGAC